CCCCAAAACCCCAAAACCCCTTAGTGTAAGTTGTATGTATTTAACGGAATATTATTAAAATCAAAATTTATAAAAAGAATTTTTAATTATTTCCTAATGGAGATATTTGTTTGTAAGGGTTGTGATCATTTTTTCAACAAAGAGTCTCAAAGAGCTCCAATGATTTTGACTTGCTCTCATAAAATTTGTAACCAGTGTCTCTAGCAAAGAATTTAAAATAAGATTTAAAGTAATACCTTTGAATGCCCAAAGAACCCAAGTCACCTTATAGACAAGAATTCTTAATTTACTGAGGATGAGGATTTACTTGAACATTCTATGCTTTATCTTTAGAATAACAATAATCTAACAATCAGATGCAGTAAACACTAATAAAAAATGATAGAAACCTTATGTACTATTGAAAACTAAATTCAATGTATCGCTTGTTCATGCAGTTGCAAATAAAAGAATAAGCATATCAATTTAACTTCATAGAGGCTTAATGATTTTTTTAATGAGAAAATAATCCCTAAAATAGAATAAAAACAATCTGACTATGACAGTAAAATCTGTGAATTTGAAAGACAAATCTAGATTATAAAGGATAAACAGCAAAAGGTCAGGTATAAGATGTGGGATCTAGAAGCATACAAGAAAAAGATTTAGTTAATAGGGAAAAGAGAATTACTAATAGATAGTGACAAGTTCATGGATACATTAGAATATACCTGCAGAAAAATCACTAAGGATGAGACAAGTAATATGCAACTTAAAAACTTTGATTTTAAAGACCTTTAAGCTGATATTATAGATTTGGCTTAGCCTTAAAGTGAATAAAGAAGGAATAAAGTACTACTATCAGATTTATCTGGTTCTTCGTCTTAATCAGAATCCCTTCAATCTGAGGAAAGTTTCGAAAGTCAGGAAAGCAATGAAATCCTTTAGAACTAATAAAATTCTCAGATCATCAATAATCCTAAAAAGAGAGATGTTAAAAGATAATAGAAATAAGACATAATAATTTCGAAATCATCGATGCCAACCCCTACATTATAAAGTCCCCACACTTTTATTCTAAAAAAGTAGATAGCTGGGGAAAAATTTCAATAAATTTCCTTTGAGGAACTCAAAAATGACTGAAAATACATAAATTTTAGACAACTCGTAGACGAACAAATATAGACAGAAAATAGCATTAAAGATTCAATGATATAAGAACAAATAAAAAAGACAGGAATTAGAGATTTATAATTCGAACTAATATATACAGGACAAAATAATGGTTTTAAAACTTAGGATTTTCACAGATGCTGTAATAAATAAGGTCCAACAATATGCTTTATATTAAGTGAAAATGGAAATATATTTGGAGGTTACACATCAGTATAATGGATGAGTTCTGGAGGACTTAAGCCAGATAAAAATTCATTTATATTCTCTCTAACTAACTGGACTATTCATCCTAATAAAAAAGATAACTAAATCCCTGCCATATATCATGGGTCTGGTTATTGTTGGAACTAAGGTGGACTGGATCTTAATATTTCTGATTAGAGTAATAGGAATAAGGCGAGCTTCTGCAAAATAGGTAAATGCTTTGAATTTTCTAATGAAAATTTGAATAGAGGCAATTCGAATAAGTTCTTGGCAGGTTTAAAAAAATTTAGAGTGATTGAGATTGAGGTTTATAAAGTTAGATGCACTTAATGATATTTAATAAGAGCCTCATAATATGGATTCATCAGAATTATTACCGTAAAGTTATTTTTAAAGTAATAAAGATGTTGAATAGCAAGAGAATATTTGAATTAAAGCGGGATTTTAATTATAATTATTTTTCTCAACTTAGATTCCTTGTATATTCAATATAATGGGGTTTTGGGGTTTTGGGGTTTTGGGG